AATATCAAATTTTGGGTGGTACATACATAAATCATTAGAATTTTATGGTAGGTATATAATTCAAGAACTTATAATCGATTAGGGGCATTTGCATACATACCCACATAATTCTAATGTACTTTTATATTTAACACCTAAACATTCATATTTACAAGCATATCATTCAAATGTTTAGCATCACATCAAAATCACCACAATCGCCGCCTACGACACCTTTTCATGCATAGGTTTATGAAACCAAGGTGTTATAAGTGTAAATATCAAATTTTGGGTGGTACATACATAAATCATAAGAATTTTATGGTAGGTATATAATTCTCTGACCAATCCTTTGGGTTTTGGCAAAATACAATATTTAAAAATTTTGGCAGTAGATAGGTCCCCATTGGTTGGGTATTGGCAAAAGACAATATTTAAAAAATTTTGAGTCGGCTCGAACATGACCTAAATAAACACGAAAAAATTGGTTGTGCACATAACTATCATTGCATGTCATATCTAAACAATTTTTTTTTTAATTTGCCTATTATTACTTTTTAAAAGTTAAAAGTATAATTTTAAATAAAAATGGAGCTGGTAGGTTAAGTGAGCCGGGTTCGGGTTAACCGTGTATGGGTCGAGTCAGGTTCGGGTTGAGTTTTTTGACTAATTTATTATTCGGATCAGGTTCACCCGAATTGACATCACTAATAATCCTCCTCCTGCCATATATTAGAGCATAAATCTTTAAGGCTCACAACTTGAGCCAAGGATTCTAAATATCAAGCCCACAACCTTCCACCAAAAGCTCATATTCAATTTCCTACCAAATTAATGGAAGATTCTCCCTCATCAATTTAGAACTATTATCAAAACTTAAAGCCGGGTTCCGAAACTGTATTGGAGATAAAGGCTGATGTTCCAGCGCCTACTTGCCCCTTCGTGTTGGCCAATCATCATCTGATGATATCAACGAAGACAATCCTCAATTTGTGAACATAGCTTCATCTTATTTGTGAAGAATAATGACTATAACATATCTCAACAGTTGTCTAATTCAGATTAAGTGTTCAAAGTCTTATTTCTCTGGTAGACAAGAGATTTCATATTCTTGATAGTTGAAAGGCTAGGAATCAAAAGAAAATCCATGTACATTCACCTATATTTACTAGGCTTCAACCTATATGATCCAAATGAATAGTTCTATAATTTTTATAATCAATAGGATGCTTCATCCTTCATGTTCTTTTCATCCCTTTCTATGCTATTGTATTTTTTCCTCCCTGCAATTTCTAATAATTGTCTTTGTTGTACTCGTATCACTAACTGGTTGAGATTAAAAAAAAAAAAAATTTTTAAAACACGTCTCTGACAAACCCATATTTCCACTCAAAATACCTAACAAATGGCAACCCATGATCACTGATTAAGAGTCTGTTTGGGGCAGCTACAATTGTATGCAAAAGCAGATGTGAAGCTTCTATTCAAAAAGCTGCGGTGGCTATTATAAAATTAAAAAAAAAAAAATCAAACCGCAGTTTTCTAGCAGCTACCGCAGATGGTCATGTCTGGTGGGAAAACACAGCTTTCAGGTGAAGTTTTTTAAGAACGCGGGAAAAACGCAGTGTTGCCAAACAGGAAAAACTACAGTGCATCATAAGTTCTTTGAACGCTCAATTCAAAAGCCCTCTAAACTCACCATACTAAGTCCACAATCACCCATGATGATTGAACCATGGTATTTTAAAAGAGTAACTCAATCACCTCAATAATTTCACACAATTAAATTCATTTCTAAAATTCAAATCTGAACCTAAAATTGAGCCCAAGAAACCTTCTTAATTGATGGTATTTTCTTGCAAGGGAAGTAAATAAGTATGAGAGTTTCCATCAGTGGGAAATCTCAAACCCAAATTAAATAAAACCTGACACAAAATCAAAGAAATTTTAGTAAAATAAAACCTAACCTAACTCAAGTAAAATAATCTCTTGTTATCTCGCCTACACATTGATGAGCCTAGTAGCTAACCGGATTGAATTTTTCTAGGCAATCTTTATATTGGATGTTCCAGATATATGTTCTTATAAGTTAGTAAAGCTAATCCAACTCTCACCCACATTTAATACAATAAACATAGTTTGTCTTGGCACATGATGATTGTCATATCCTAATTTCTAGTGAATGGAAGTACTCGTTTATATAGTTCACCAGCGGCCAGGCATTTAAACCTCTTAGATACCCACAAAAAGAAAATTACAAGTCTGCGAGACTAGTAAATTGTACCTAAAAGGCAACCTTACACACAAGTTTGAAAGTGCATCGAGATTAAAAATACAATTTCTGGTTTAAAAGTGAAGAAAAAAATAGGAAGATTTACAAACATACCACTCAATTCCCATGTATTTACATAGCTAAAAACTAAACTTCAATCACTTCAAATTTTACATACATGCCTGCCTACCTATACTTAAAAAGGAGCATTTAAAAGTTAAAATGGTGTTATTTTTTACGAGAAAAGAAAGAATTGGGAGGTATTAATGTAAAAGGTAAAGTTTAGGTGCTACATATGTAAAAACATAGGAATTGGGTGGTATGTATGTAAATGCCTAAAAAAGCAATGCACAAATAAACAAGAGATACTATCAAAGCCAAACAAGTGATATATGCAAGGAAAAGCTAAGAAAGATTCATACCAACAGCTTGAGCAAAGCGTGGCCTGTCATGAGGAGCCAAAGTGGAGCACGCAAGTCCAAGACGAACGACCAGGCAGGGTCGTAGCATCACATCAAATCCGTGCCAAAAAACCAAATGTGACCAAACTTCGAGCTCTTGTGATGAGAGTATATTGTATGACTCCCTCCATCGAATGGTTTTCTTGAGCGACGATACCAAGCATGCAAGGTCACCATTTGCAGCAGTATAGAATCTACGAAGTTCATCTACATTGAACCTGGAAAGAGAAAATCTTAACTCATTTTTGGTGGAGTGGAAAATTTTTCATGAGGACTATGCATAGCTCATTCTATTTCTGTATTTTTTTTTCAATGATACAGTAAGAATATAAAAGTCAACATGATATCATGTAGGGTTCTCTGTTGATATATTGCTTGAGCCAGGTTGGTTACGATTAGCTTAGTATACTAATTATAATCACTTGGCCATTTGCACAGTACATTTGATGCAAAGCTTTCCACTTCTGCTCGATTCTGTGACCTCATGGAATCAAAGGGATCCCGCAATCCCATATTCCCAAACAGGAGATTAAGGAATCCCACAATCGTGGGAAGGATGGAGCGCCGGACATCACAACTCGTCAACTATTCCAACACTTTTATTTCCTTTATGATTTTCTTCTTATTTTTTCATTTCTCACTACGTATTCTCAATTAGAGGACATTTATATGTTGCTATTTGAATTTCAATTTTGTTGATTTTATGAATTTGAGAGATTTTTATCTGATTCCTGCCCTTCTCTTTGGAGTGTTCTCATTTTCCTTTCGCAAGATGCATCAATATCTTGCTTAGGAATGGGAGGTGGAACCTCCTTGCCGCCCAATTGTCACCGATTTGGAGTTCCCTTTCATGTTTTCAGTTGGGATAGCCATCAAAAGACGCTTGTCCCCTTCCAAACGTTGTTAACCTCGCTTATTTTCGTTCCCTCATCATTTCACAACTACCTCCCCTCTAAATTCACTTACAAAATACCTTCGACGAGGTGTTATATTGCATCAGAGCCTGACAAATCCTAAAGTTTTAGGGATGTGCCTTGCTTGATCTCAAATTGATGTGGAAGCTTACCGCAAAAAAAAAAAATACAGCGGTACTATAGCTGCTACAGTCCCCCGGGAATATCTATCGTGGGAGACGGACCAAAATAATATTGTTTTCCTTTTTTATGCTTTATTTCTTATTTTTCTTCATTCCTTTCTAGTCATTTCCTATATATGTGTTGTATTAGGATTTGGAAGTCAGTTCTGCAAGTCTTTTATTTAGACAGGCGCCAACATTTATTCTTCTCCCTTCGAGAGTTGTATCCAATGAATTGGGTGGTGCTCCAGTTGTACCTCTCTCCAAAGGTGATAACTATCTTCCCAATTCCCTTCCACATCCTCCCTGCATCGCTTCCAGACGCCGCCCTCCATTGTTGCAGTTGTCCCCGAACGGCCACTATTGTTCCTTGCAGACTTCCCATCTTTGAGGGTTGAATCCAAGGGATTGTGTGGTGCTCCGAACGGAATATTTCTTCCAAATCGAGATGAGAAAGTGAATCCCTTTCATCTTTGGTGCCAAAAAACTAATAACCTAATGATTTAGCATGAAAAATAAGATAATGTAATCAACCTAATAGCTTTTTTTTATCACAATCCAACATAATTTATCTAATGTAATTTTTGTCACGACCCGAACTGATAACTTAGAATTAACCAAGTCAAGAATTGTGGTTGTACAGTATAACCAAGTCAACAATAGTTCTTCTCCTATAAACTAAATTCCTCATATCAAACATATCAATCTACATTCTTTACTGAAAGAAACAATTATATTCAACGGTATATTTTCACGACTTATTGAGCAATTTAAATTTTTATGCATTAAATTAATATGCAAATGCTATGCGTGAATGACTAAAACAAATGTAGTTCATTATTTAATTAAAATGTAAGCTTTTATTTAAATTTAGTCATTACTGTTTCAATTTAACTATTTATCCTTTTAAACATCTTTAAGAAGTTATATCAGGATTGCCGTCATATCCAAAGGTATCCCGAAAAATTATACTTGTAGGTACCCTATAAATTTTTGCACCCGAAAGTACACATTTTACATTTCTATTATCTTTTCCATGCACGTGTACATCACATTCCCTGCAGATATCATCTAGGGGTAATCCTAAGCCTTTACATTTCATTTCCTTTAAATTACTTCTTTTTAAAGACATTGAACAATTATATTACTTTTTTTTCATTTTATTTCATTCAATTCAATAATTTTTTAACCTCCTACATGAAAACAATTATAAAAGCATGTATATGAAGCAATAATAAAAATCTTTATTTAATAAAACATCAATTTAATAAATATAAAAAGTAATTACCCATTTTAACATTGTTTGCTAGTCTCACTATTTCCTTATCTCCAAATGTTACAGGTTCAAAAGTTTTTCAACCATAATTAAATAAATTAAACTTCATCTTTAATTGAAATGATATTATCTTTCAAAGTGATTCACACGTAGATCTTGAAACTGTATCTTAATTACTTCAAGTACGTCCTGATTTCAAATACAATGTACAAACACTTAAAGAATAACTTAAATATATATAAATTCATTAATTAAATTATAATATAAATCCAAACTTATCTTACTGAAGTTTGCCCAGATCAATCTCTCTCCTCCTTTTGCTCGCACGCTTCATTACTTCTCCCCTCCATGCTGAAACTCTATACCTCGAGTCCTAATACATTTAACTTACTATTAAAACTAATTAAATAAATGCACACTAACATGTGTGTAAGTTTATCAAATAAATTAATTAAAATATTAACTTACCTAAACTAAGGTCGGTTGATTCCTCCTCTCGACAAAACTGTACCCACAAGCTCCTTCTTCCTTCTCTTCCTTCGAGCACTTGTCTACTTCACCTAATAGAGCTGCAAGCCTCTTATTTTTCCTTCGAGTTCTTCCTTTGAATGTGGCTCTACTTCAACCAGCACTCCAAGTCGCTCTCCTCCCTCTTCTATTGCTCATGGTCAATCGAGCGCGGTAAGCTTCGCATGGCAGGGAAAAGCTGCACAATCCTTCCTCCTTCGACTTCTTCTGTTGCTAAGGTTTCCTTCGCCCTTCTGCTTCTTTCGAATTAGGGCATGACGGCTTCTCTTTTTTCCCTCTCCCATTGTCTCTCGTTCTCGCTCATTCAATGGTTCGAATTAAGGGAAGTGCGGAAGAAACATGTGATTTGTTTCCAACGATGGGCTTTGTCTCTTCTAAATGATACTTATTTTTGTATTTATTATTATTATTTTAATCGGTTATTACAACTAGAGGGAGAGAAAAGCGGCTTAACAGGCACGATTTAGCTTAAACCCTCATGCTTTACATGCTCCTTCCATCCTTTATCATCCTTTACATGTTGCTCGGGTTGATCTTCTACAACAAATTTCTATCTCAATATCATGGCGCATGTGAGATGGGGCCACTAGGTGAGAGGAAGAGAGAGATGAGAGCTAGAGAGAGCAACACGGGCAAATTCATGCGAGGGAGCATTGTGGGATGTGCCAATATAGCCAACTCTACAAAACAAGTAACGATTGACCAATTTTAATATTTGCAATGCATTTTAGGTTAGAGTTATATGATGTCGCATCTAATGGCTACTGTGTTGTCATGTTTAAACAGAACAAAATTTAGAGCAAATATGAAGGTCAATATCTAGCTATAACTTTGCATAACTATTTAAAAGCTAAAAATAAAATATATCGTCGCTAGCATCCAAGGGCGAGAAAAGGTATGTTGTTAATGTCAAGCAATCTATCTTTAAACAGAGAAAGAAGGCGATCATCCATCATCAAGTCTTGATAAACATTGATACTAGCAATAATACAAATCATCTCTAAAGAGCAATGCATCTTAAAGAAGAGAAAGAGGATGTTTGTAACATAACATCTTAAAAAAAATGGGAAGAAAATTTTCCAAGAGGCCTTTGCAAAGTGGACATGGCGCTAAAGCTTCCTTTATGTAATAAGTGGTGGTATGTAATGGGTGATGGCTATATAGATGCCAATCAGACAGTAAACCAAAAAACACTTCGATGTATTTTCCAACAACAGGTACACCAATGTACTGAAGATTAAATTTGTGCATGTTGGTTATCTAGAGTCGTGTGTGTGTGTGTGTGTGTGTGTGTGTGTGTGTGTGTGTGTAAAACTAGAAGAGAAGTTGCCAGCTGCCACATGGATAGATCCCTTCATCATTAAAGAAGAAGAAAAAGAATGAGGCCAAAAGGAACTATCAATAATATAGGTAATAATCTTGCCAAGCTAAGGAAGTCCAGGAGAAGCAATTCTTGCCAACATAGACAAATTCTGAAGAAAATATCCAATTCCAACAAAAGCAAAAAGTCCTCTAAAGTAGAAATACATCCAAAAAATTATAATACTAACCATTTTTGGAAAGCAAAATATTATGAAAACCAAAGAAGATCCAGACAACCCTTAACCAGGAACAGGTTAAAGAAAGGGATTCCCCTCATTTACACAAGAAATTTACATAAGCAAAATCAGTTAGCCTAAGTCCATAGGTGAACCTAGAGAGTCCACGAAAAAAAGAACCAAATCAAGATTAAGTTAAACCACTTGAAAAAAGAAGACTGTATAAATTTACTTGGGTAGATCAAAACCTTCAAAGGGGGCAAACCAAGTCAATTAGAACTAGGTCAACTACTTAAACAAAATTTAACTAGATAATGTCGCATAAAAAACATATAGAATTGTGTGAAAGAGAATTAAGCAATAAGAGAGCCCAAGGGCTAAAATCATGGAGGGGGTAAATTTTTAAGGAAAAAGTAGACAACCTATGATGAATAAGAAAATCAATGAGCTGATCAATATCAATATTTAATACATGATTTTATATGGTGATAAATACTAGAGTAAGAAGGGACTGACTGAATTGGTGAACTAAATTTTCTAAGGCGAAAATTGGAGAACTGATTTCTAAATTGAAGTAATATTCATTTTCGCTAAACCTAATGGATTTAATAGATATGTTTATGTTTCCTAATCCTTCATAGCAAGAAATAATGTTATTAGACAAAGATTGCTACTGTAAATGGTCTAACAATGATTAACTCTCCTCTTAAAGAAAATGATCCTTCATATTTTTATGAATAGCATGAGTATGTTTCCATGTTAGCATCAACTACATGTGTCAATCACATTTTGCATGCAAATTGACTTAATGTATGCTACGGTGAATGCAAAAAAAAAATTACATAGGAATGCTTTCATAAAGGCACTAGTGCAGTTTGATGCAACCCTCAGCAGGGGTTCCACCCACCATGGTTCTCTGTTTCAGGCCGAAATCCTTCGAACCGATCTTCTCCAACCCCAAATAGCACGTCGTCACATTCCAACTGCCGCCGCCCGTTCCAAACCTTCATATGTTGTGTGATTCCCTCCAGATTTTGCCATTTGAAGTCGTTCCCAGCTCCTTCGCACGATCCCGTCTACTTCTGTTCATTCCAGTCATTTCAATATCGTGTCAATCCAATAGTTGTTGCTTGAGTCCACACCCGATTCGTTTGTTTGATCCCATAGCACCAGATCCGCCTAATGCAGCAACGCTACCCTAATGTCGTTCAAATCCCCTCGCCTACCGCCACTCGCGTCCACTCTAAACGTCATCGCTCGTTCCCATGGCAGACAACAACGGTTTGTTAAACTTTGATATCTTCTTCATTGCTTCCAAGGCAGTGAATCTCTCTTCTAGGGATGAGAACCGCCCCTCTATGGAGAATAAACACTCCTCCATTCCTGATCTGATTTAGCTAATCTCTCCCCCTAATTTCTCCTCCAAGACATCCACTTTCTTGGCCACCATTATTCTCAGGTATGGTTATGATACCAATCTGATAAGAAAAAGAGAGGTTTCAACAAAGATTAGGGCAGAATAAAATAATCTACTTCACCGGCACAAAACAACACAATTCAAATACATAAAAGAAAAGCCTACAATTTGAGAGGTAGGCAATTCTCTCCCAAACTCTAATCCTAAGATTCAAGGCATTAATTGAATACCTTAACCCTAATCATATAAAGCCCTATTTATACCAAACAATAGTAACTAACAAATGACTAAATTATTCATTTAGCTTTGCACCTAAAATAAGCCTTCAAATTATCTCTCGGGCTTGACATGACGGAAAACGACATATGTGTCGGTCAAATAGACTCCTACCAGTAAAGATTTAATGTGTAGAAAGGTTGAAACGGTCGATTTCCACAAAAAAAAAAAAAAAAAACTTTGAAAGTTCTCTTTATTTTCCAGTAAATCATAGCCTGTTGGAAATAAAATTAGAAAGTAGAGGGTAATTGAAATGTTTGATTAATTTATATAATGTTAATGTTTTTGGTTTTTTTTTTTTCTTTTTCTTCTGGTTTGGAGTATAAAACTCTTATATCCTGAGTAACCTTTGAAAGTTTACTGAGTTTGTCATTCTTTTCTTTTTTGATACTTAAAGCTCTAAGGTTGAATCATGACACTAAAATATTTGCATGTCATAACAAACTATTTAAGTTGAGCTTTATAAATTATTTTTACTATTCATATATTGATTTGCCTAATTCTTCTCCAACAACTTCCAACAAACTCAACATGTTAATTCCTCGAATTTCAATGCTAGTTTAGCTTTATCCTAATTTTGTCACCGCAAACATTCTCCATTGCTCATCACAAAAAATTAAAATGTTACTTAAGTTTAGGAGTCTGGATCATTTATGGGAAAAGAAATCAGGGTTGCGAAAAGTTAGGAAGATTTACATATATACCACTAAATTCTTATGTGTTAGCATATCTAACACCTGAATTTCAATTTTTAAATATATGCCACCTTACCTATGCATGAAAAGGTGTATTTCACTTTTTCAAAGTTAAAAACAGTGATGTTTTTATGTGAGATGAAAGATTTGAGTGGTCTAAATGTAAAAAGAAAATTTTAGTGCTAGATATGTAAATGCACAAGAATTGGGTGGTATGTATGTAAATGCCCCAAAAAATAATCCAATCAAATTATAGAAGAGAAAGTACTGTAGCATTAATGAAGAAATTACATTTATGAACTTTCATTAATAGTTACTCACCATCATTTTATGAAAGCTAAACTTAGGAACAGTATTCCAAGCATATAAGTTAACAGTTTATAAAAAAAGAAATATACTATGAATCACCTTTCAGGTAAGGAAATTCCTTGCTTTTCCAGCTCTGCAAAAAGCTGTAGAAGCCAATTATCAGGAACAATATGCTTAGAGGATTCTTCAGATTGCCTGAAAAGCAAATACAATCACCATCATCAAGAGATCAATCCCAATAAATTAGCTTATGATTAAAAGAAAGGAAGATTTACATACATTCCACTCAATTCCCATGTATTTACATATGTAACACCTAAGCTTCATTTTTTTACAAATATGCCACATTTCCTATACACAAAAAAGATTTATTTTACTTTTTAATAGTTAAAATAGTGGTATTTTTATGTGATCTGAAAGATTTGGGTGGCATAAATGTAAAAAAGTAAAGTTTAGGGTTAGATATGTGAATACATGAGAATTGGAAGGTATATATAATGTATGTAAATGTTCCTAAAAAAATAAATATAATAAAGAAGCATGGCCTACAAATCATATCATGGTAGGCTGCCCCTAGGGTTAACTTTGGCCAACTTAGGTTCAATCGCAGACATGTCAACCATTTGACAGGTTGATTTCATAAAGCAAAATATGGCAACATGGAAGCCTATGATGAAAATTTGTGAAATTCAAAATCCTAAGAAGGGAAGCAGCCCAACGCACAAGAAGCCTTTAAGAAAAATTCAAATCCAAAAACTGATTAAAAGAAGTCAGTTAAATATCATGATAAAGGGCATGCTTTATTAAATAACTTGTCATAAACTTAGATTTTGCTTAATTGTTTTCCTGTAAAAGTAGATTGCAAATAAGTATGCTATTGATTTTACTCAATTCCTTACAAGTCCACTCCCATATTTTGAATTTGATTAATAGTAATGGCATATTCACTCCCACACAACAGATCCTTCTCCCTCTCTCTCATTTCTCTCAACCATATCATGCCTTAAATAAGTATGCTTTTGATTTCACTCAATTCCTTACAAGTCCGCTCACATATTTTGAATTTGATTAATAGTAATGGCTTATTCACTCCCACACAACAGATCCTTTTCCCTCTCTCTCATTTCTCTCAACCATATCATGCCTCCAAAACATAGAAATGAATCCAAAACTGTGATAAATGCACTACATTGGCTTTAAAAATAACTCTGTACCTCTCTATCTTTCTCTTTTTTCTCTTAATTTACCTTCGAACTCTCAATTTCCCTCATTAGGCTAAGAACGCAAGGGAGAAGGACTATGATTGACAGTTTTGATTGACATCAAATGCAAAATGATTCATGCTTCTCAATTGCTTACTCTTTTAACTCATCAAGTATTAAGTTTTTAGGGCATTCACTTACATAACACCCAATTCCTACGTATTTACACCTTAAGATTGGAAAACATGGGAACTCACATCCAATCTAAGAATAAACGGGGTGACTAGATCAGAAAGAAAAGCACGGGGACTCGCATCTAACCTAAGAGCTAGTCGTGGTGATTAGGTTAGGAAAAAAAACAAGGGTACTCATATCCAACCTATAAGTTGATCAAAGAATAAGATGTCTTATGATAGACTTACACATAAATTTTGTTTGATAATGAACAGAATTTGAACATAGTCCAATTTGTTTGATAATATTCATGACCATACTAGTTTGTCGTTCAACAAGTAACTTATTAAATGCTCTTTATTTATATAATATATTTTTTAAATAAATTTTGATTAACTAGAAATTATTTAATAATAACATATTATAATTTTATAACAATATACAATAAAATTAAGGTATTTTTATTCTTTATTTCATAAAATTAGTTTGTTAGTACTTATTTATGTTATTTGATAAAAAAAATTACTCAAAGCAAAAATTATTTTTTATTTATTTGATATATAGTAGCTAGATATTAATTTGAAATATATTTGATTGCTTATTTATTTAGAATTGCAAAACTATTTGTCAATAATTTTCGATAAAAAAATCAAGACGTTCAAACTTTTACATTGTTTGCTAATTTTATATGAAAAATTAAGTACAAATCAAATTTTATATTTTATATTAAAAAAGAAGTTATTCAAATTTTTAGCTTTTAAACTAATATAAACAAGTCAAGTAATAATCAAGTATGAACATTGAAAATTTTAAGCAAATTAAATATGAACATATATGTGAAAGCTCATCTCAAGCTCGAACTAAACATGATACAACCAAGCTAAGTCCAAACCATTACACAATCTGCTCTACTCGGCTTGATTACTATCCTACATATGTATTTCCATATATAAAACCTAAATTTTTCTTTTAAATTTATACCACCCAAATCTTTCATATCATATCAAAACTTACCATCATTTTATCTTTAAAAAATGAAATATGTAAATAACTATGAATTGAGTAGTATGTATGTAAATCTTCCTTCTCTATATTGTTGATAAAAGATTACAATTTGCATGTCAACAACCAGAGATGTAAACTCCCCATCCCGCAAACACAAGCAAAGGGATGTTATTTATGCTTTATAACATTACAAATGATAAATACATGCAAATGATGAATCCACAAATAAATGAATCATTTTGAGTTTTTCAAAATGGAACAAATAAATAATCTGAAAATAACAGAAAAATACTAAAATCACGTACAAGCTATCAGAAGTTGAAGATCTGCAAAGTGGTTCAGCTAAGGGCTGTGATTCATCAACCCCGTTATCAACCCCGTCACTGGTTACCCTACAATTTTCTGAATCATTGGAGAAAGCTGTTGCAATTGAAAGAAGCAGCAGCGGCCTTGAAATGCTCTGCCAATTGAGTGCTATCAGTAATTGAAAGTGTTACAAAAATGGGAAGATTTACACGCATACCACTCAATTCTTATGTATTTACATATTTAACACCTAAACTTCAATTTTTTCGTACATTCCACCTTACCTATGAATGAAAAAGTGTATCACTTTTTAAAAATTAAAAAGGTGGTATTTTTTTACGTAAAATGAAAGATCTGGGTGGTTTAAATGTTAAAAAGAAAGTTTAGGTGTTAAATATGTAAACACATAGGCACTGGGTGATATGTGTGTAAATGCCCCTAAAAATTAATACAAGGAAAAAGAATATATGTAAAGGCGTGCAATTAATATTTTCAAAGGTTAAGAAAGACATTTGAAACACCATAGGAGAAGCATCCCCCACACTACGTTCCCTGCACCCTCCACCTACCAATGATCTCAAGCGTTAAGTTTTGAACAGTATGCTTTCTTTCTTATATAAGGCAAGATTGATTTAGCAGAGAATGCAATAGATAAAGTGACTAGAAAAAACGTCCGTACTATTTGGTTAAGCGGGTGAACAAAATGATTCCAGAAAAGTGTCAAAATTACACTTTTTGCAGATGTCCATTTTATAAATCAAGTATATTAACCATTTTATAACAGAATATGCAACGCTAAATACACAAATTGTGCAATTATATTTTTTAATAAAGCTGGTATGCTTTAAACTACCTGTGCGCCTCTGATTATTAGCCTTAGTGGACCCCACTTCTGCAGCCATTTAAGCGGCGGATAACTGAGAATTTGAAATGCTTGTACAGACCGCCATAAAATAGGACATCTTGCTTTCGAGAACCTCCTTACTGCCTCCAGCGCTGCAACTTTTATTACAAAAGACAGTATTTCTCCCGAATGATTCGGGCTCAGTCGAAGAGTCTTTGATGGTACCATGTGCTTCAATGTCATCCGTGGATTAGCTTCTCGCAAAGCAGTGGCTATGCTACTTTTTTGCATCTTCTCACAATCAGGGCTTCTTGATGAATGATTTTTTTTCACTATAAGTAGATATGGGTTATCAAACCAGCAAGAAACAAAAGAGCTGGATAGCACAAATAAAAAATATAACATAAAACAGTGGAAGTAAACGTAAGCCATAATTTAATACTGCTGTTCAAGTCATAATTCTGATTTTTGATCTGAAACTAATATGCTGGTGCCTAGCTTAAGGCGAAGGAACAACGGGATTGCGGCGTCCAGGGCCACGAATAGACGTAATTGCGGGATACATACTACAAGAAGTCGAAGGACCACGGTGTACAGGAGTTTCGCATCGCTCTCGATTGAAACTGGCGATCAGGATCCTAGAATTCGAATTATGGCTTCTGGAGTTCCGCATGGCTTCCAATAGTTCGCCCGAACTGTGCATAGAAATTTTTTAATCTCAGCGTCCAGAGTTCTACTCATGCCTAACCCGCGTAATCTCAGTGTAAAGGAGTTTCAAAACCATCAAGGAGTAATGGGAGCCAAAAAAGTGGATGCTTTGGAGGAAAAATTAGCATAGATCAGTCAAATCATATCTGGAATAGAGGAGCATTTTTCAAACATGTAGGGGAGGTTCACAGCCCTAGAAGATATGATAAAGCAAATTGCTAAGTCCCACACAAATCCTCAGTCGGCTACAACTAGATCGAGCGACGGCGTCTGAAACGAATGTGAGTGGTGGCAATCAAAAAAATTCATGCAATATTAGAGCAACATTGATTTATAACCCAAAATAGTGAACCATGATGGGTGGGACCTAGGCAGAGAACTACATCCATCAGCACTACTGTCTTTTGTTGCAGAGCAGAAGGTGATTATGAAGCTTAAGGAGATGAGTGAGCTAATTATGAGGCAAGCATGACTTATGGAAGAAGGAAAACAATATGGGTTGAAGAAGGGAAACCCACCCATGCACCATGGGGGAATGAACTTTGCGAGGGAATTGGAGAGGAAACTCGCGCATAAAGAAACTAAAGATGTCAATCTTTAAAGGAAAGCATGCATATGGTTGAATTTATCGTGTTGAGAGGTATTTTGTGGTTAAAGAGTTCACAGAGGAAAAAAAATTGATGGTGGCGGCCCCTGTGCATGGAAATGAAGGCTTTAATGTGGTATCAATAAAGAGAACAAGTTGACCAATAAGAGCCAGGGAAGAATTCAAGGATTGATTGTTGAATCGTTTCAAAATCACTCGAGAAGGAAAACTATACGAGCAATTTTTTGCATTAGTCAGAAGGGCCTGTTACAAAAAATAGGGAGAAATTTGAGAATTTTATCTAGTCGTTCGAGAAGGATGTCATATGAGGTATTGGAAGGAAACTTCAAGAAAATGTTAAATTCAAAGTTTTGAGCATCACTTCGTCTGCTCAGACAGCAATGATTGGAGGAAATTATAGAATTAACACAGCGGGTCAAGGATAAAAATGCAATGGAAAGAGCTAATAGAAGCAGCAAAAGTGGAGCACCGCACCGCAATGTTACAACCATAATGGAACCAAAGGATCGTCCAGAGAGAAATAGTGGAAGTCCAGAGAGAGACACCAAAGGACATGAATAAGGGGCCACGACTAAGGGAGACACTCAATGGTCTTACAGAGACAGAAACTTAAGAGAAATAGGTCAAAGAGTTATATATTCGATGCGATGAGAAGTTTCCTCAAGATACTGGTGCAAGGATCGGGCATTACATATTCTCACAGTGTGTGATGAGGAAACAAGGGATACAGAAAAGGAAAAGACTGTGGTGGAGGAAGAGAAAAACCCTAACTTATATATAGCATAAGTTTTATTGAGCTCGGTGGTGAGATTAATACAAAAATCACACAATGAAACTTCAGAAGTAGATCAAAGAACATAATGTAGTTGTGTTAATAGATAGTATGGTCACTCGTGGCTTCATACTACTCAAATAACGAAGCAATTAGGGCTTCAGATGATGGACACAAAAAGTTTTGGAGTCATGATGGGGACGGAATAGGTGGAGAAAGACAAAGGAGTTTGTAAAGGTGTAATTTAACAACGTCAAATATTCAAGTGATGGAAGAGTTTCTTCCCTTGGATTTAGGGAGCACTGGCGTGAAATTGGGGATGAAATAGTTGATCCGTAGGGGAGGTTAAGGGGAATTAGAAAATTTTGACAATAGAGTTTCAGGAGGGAGAGAAGACAGTTGTGCTTTGCGATGACCTTATTTTATGCAAGATAATGGTGTCAGCGGATCTATCGAAGGTGGCAGATAGGTTGAAGAGGCCACTACCTAAGACCTGGAAGGGGTTAAGAAGGTTTAAGGGACTTACATAATACTACCAGAAGTGCGTGCAGGATTATAATTTGATTGTACCGTTGTGGATGAAGAAATTGAAGGATAACTTTCAATGGGATAAATTGATGACTCGAACTTTTGAGAAGTTGAAGAAACTCGTGACGAGTGTGTCAGAGCTAACGACGAGAATCAGATTCAAGCCATTTTATGAGTGGGGGGCCACACAAGTTGATCCGACAGTAATTGTTTCCACCTTAAAGACAAAGTTTTTTTTTATTTATTTTTATTTTTTTAATTTTTTTTTTATTTTTTATTTTTTAAAGGGGAGTATTGTTATGTCGGTGTCTAGCCCAAGAGGCAATTTAATCTTTTATTTTTCCACCTTAAGGACAAAGGTTTTTTTTTTTTAAGGGGAGTATTGTTATGTCGGTGTCTAGCCCAAGAGGCAATTTAATCCTTAATTAGTTTAAAAGCAATTAAGTATTTTATTATTTGTTATTGTTTAGTATAAATAGATCATAATATGTTTAGGGTTAGGTAACATGAGATTAGGTCTTTAGTCTAACGGTTTTGAGAGATTTCCTACCTCTCAAATTGTAAGAAAGGGGAAGATCGCCTACAACTCTAGATGTTTATCTTTATGTGTTTGTGTTGAGTTATTTTGTTGTTCTTGCAAGTATTTGTTTGTCATAATTTCTTTGAAGAATCCTATCAATTATGTAGAAATGTCACGATCTCATCTTTTCTTCTCAAAATCGATGCTCTGGTACCATTTAATAGGAACTTCCATAGAAATTAGGGCAAAGCAATTTTTTATTTTCAATAACACCAACAAATAACAGGAATACATAAAAATAAGCACCTACAATTCGAGAGGTAGACGATCTCTCTCAAATCCTAACACTAAGGCTCATGACCCAATCCGATGTATAATCCTAACCCTAAGCATACTAGTCCTATTTATGCTAAACAATTATGAATGACAAATGACTAAATTGCCCTTAGGCTAAGAAAAACTAAATTACCCTTAAGCTAATAAAAACTAAATTGCCCTTTGGCGTCGTCCTGACAAAGTTACCAAAGAGTTCTCAATCATGATAAATATGCATTAAAAATCAAGTGTTTTTCCCTCCCAAAAAAAAAAGAGATCAATCATGATAGATTTACAATAAAAATCAACATTAAGTACATGCCTTTTTTTTATTAGTTAAGGATATGATTCCAAAAGATGTTCTAAGCAACATATTCGTGTATAGTTTTTGTACTTGCATGGCTCCAATTAGTAAGACTTTAATTAAATCAAGTAAAAAAGTTACAACAATAGAAAAAATGATTTGATTATAGACGGTTTAAAATACTAAAACAAAAATATATTTATGATATATAATTTTACAAGAAGAAAAGTTAACATTCATTAATCTGATGAGTTGGATCTATTCTACACAAAAATGTGGATAGCAATGAGAACATAAACATTAGAGATAAAATGGAGAAATTAAAATCAAAAAGTGCATTGAAATACTATGTCATAAGAAAACATTAAAAGATCTGAAAGTAAATTTTATAAAATTATAAAAAATATTGTTTGTGCTAAATGTATCCAAGCGTTGAAAAATAAAGTCATGAAAAAGACTAAGGGCAACAAGGCAATTATCACATGACTACTCAGACTGCTTCGTCGGCTTCTACAGTTGAGCAGCCAAGCAGAATAATCAAATGAATCGTAATTTATGGTTTGTTTGGGCTATTTTGTTTAGAACTTTGCTTTCTAAAAAGCTAAGATAGTTCTATTGGGCAATGTTTTTTTCTTGTTTTTCAAATATCTCTATTGTGAGAAATATTTTTTACAACTAAATCTCCCAAAGTATAGTAGAAACAACAAAATTGTTGCTCAATTTTTTTCAGATGGGAAGTCTATAACACCCACAACTTTCAAAAATCTACTTATCCCATAATAGTTCTACAACTAGGTTTATAGACAACAAAAACAATAATAAGTTTTTGTCCCACTAAGTGGGGTCGGCTACATGAATCTTTTTTCTCCATTGTGCCCTATTAAGTGTCATATTTTCATTTAATTCTAATAAAATAAAATTGTTTTTTATACAATATGCCCAAGTCTTTTCAAGTCTGCCTCTACCTTTTTTAACATAAGTCAAATTTAAATTATCTACTCTCTTAACAAGGTTATCAGATGGTCGGCATTTAACGTGACCAAACTATAAGACAACTCTCTCTAATTTTTTCTATCACTGGAGCTACTCCAACCCTTTCACAGATGTATTCATTTCGCATTTTGTCTCTAAGTGTAAAGCCACGTTCTAACCTATGTTTAATTATTCTCTCTGACAACTTTAATGTGTAACAAATTAACTTAATTTCTATGAAATCTGCACACTCCTATGCACCCTTTTATTCTTGAAAATAAGAACTAATGGACTCTTTCTGCACTCATCATACATTTTTTTTTTTTAGTTTTTAAAAATAATATTAAAAAGTTTAGCAAGCCAATAAATTCTCAAGTCTCCTAAATATCTTCACACTATAGGGTCCTGGTGTTTTTCTACACTTCATTTTATTTAAAGTCTACTCAGTTTTATCCTTGATCTAAAGTGTGGAGAGGCAAAGGAGGTGATTTAGACTCCATGCGACAAATTTGAAACAATTGATCTAAAAAATTTTCTAAAATGGTGTTTTATTCATTTTAAGAAACTAGATCAACGTGTTAGCTGGTTAACAGAAAAATGAGCTTTTCATATAAGTACCATTTTAACAACTACTAAATTCATACCAACTACCACTCGAACAAGCTCGCTCGTGATAGTCTTTTGACTCACATGCATAAGCCTGGTCACTAAAAGTAACTGCAACTTGAGAAATATTGTGTCAATGGATTAGAAGATAGCACAACACCACAATCAAATCTAGGAATAAAGCCATGGCACAAAGACTAAACAAGAACAATAGATCCAAATAACCTAAATAGGTTAAAAAATAAACTCCTTGCTCCAACCCAAAGAGTAAACAATATAGTTTCCTATAGGACAACAAAAATAGCTTCAAACTTCAAACTATTTAATAAAGGCATGCTGAATGTCACCAAATTCAAGGCATCATTAACACCTTAAATTTCTCTAAAATCTACGCGCATGTATCTAAGAGGTTAAAAAACAAGGTTATAATCAAAATTATGTTTTTCGTCCCCTCTTATAATAAGACTTTAGGTTCCTTAATCTCCCTCTTCAGAAACACAACAATGTCTTCACTCAACTCAAAATACCAGGTTAAAGCATTTGCCGGAGAAATCCTCTGAGCGACAAAACCACTAACTATATATGTATTCATGCCTTAATTTGCCTTCATGGGTAGAACTTATACCCTTCATCTTCCTTCAAAAAAGAACACCAAAATCTAGATGCTCACCAAAGGAGCCATGCTCCTTGTTGTTTATAGAATGTTGTAAGTCGTCGTCATAATTTCTTGTGACATAAATATTAGACTCTATCAGGGATGGAGTCGGCGGAGAAATTAGAGGGCTGAATTAGCATGGACGGGTTATAAATTACTACAACTATCTTAACAATTTGATCCATCGCCTTTAGCTTGCAAGAGATTGGCAAAAGGAGTACATAACAAAACAAGGTTGACATAAAACATTCTCAGAAGAAGGAAACAATGAAAATAGCGCCTGCCATTATTGGTACATAAAAGATATTTATAATCTCATCTTTCATGTTCGGAAAATTTCTTAATGGAACTAAGGGCAAACGACATAAGAATCACAGAGGTCAACAACATGATGGACATAATGGTGACAAACACTCACAAATCCATATTCAATTTTATCATCACACATATAGCATCATCAACCAAAAAGAAATAGGAAGATGCAATCAAAATAGAACATAGCTCTAGGTTTAAGAAGAATGTGGCAAATTGGATATTCAATTGATATTCTTAGGCTTATTTTGAAATTTAACGCATCAATCAAAAAAGATTGGCAAGACACCACCAAAAAAGAAGATAACTCTATGATGCAAATAATGAGTGTAGCAATTTAGAGATTCAATTGATGTTCTTTAGTCTATTTCTAAGTTTAGATTGAAAATGGATAGAATTGATGAAAATCCTCAAAAAGCTCAATATCAGTTCCTCTAATCATAACCAAGCCATCCTCATGTGTTTCACATTCATATCAAATATGATCAACCTTCGAAATGCTTAGCTAAGGTTGCAATAGAGTTAGGTCAAACCAAGCAAGTAATGAATTGAACTTGGCTTGGTTGTATTATAAGTTATTCATCTTCAATTTAAGCTTCGGTTGAGCTTTCATATATATTTTTATATTTGGTTAGCTTAAATTTTTTAACAATCATGTCTGCCTCATAATTTACTTATTTATATTAATTGAACAAAAGCAACAATGAGTTATTAAATAAACTAAAATTTTGAATGAGTACTTTATTTTTTTAAAAAAGTTATTAATAAAGAATTTTACAAATCTAAACAAGTAAGCAATTGAAGAAATGTCAAATTAATATCAAACTAATTTATATCAAGTAAATAAGATAACATATAAGTTGCAATTAAGTTTTATTACAATCACATAACATAAATAAGTACAAATAAATTAGTCCATTGACATAAAAAAATAAAAAAGAGTAGCATTAAATTTATATAAATATTGATATTAAATTATACAAATGATACAAAGGTATAATTTAATAAATTCTAGCTAATTATATTTTATTTAAATAATATGTCACATAAGCATAGAGCATTTAACAAGTTACATGTTAAACAAAAAACAAGTTTGTTCGTGAATATAAATATTTTAGTTGAATCATACTTAGGTGTGGTTCAATTATTTATTTACTATTTTACTACCACGTTTTAAGAAAAATATTCAAACTAATTTATTTATTAATATGAACAAATATGATCAATTATTAATCGAGACGAATTCGAGTTGTTCATCGAGTGCTTCATTGAGTGCAATGGTTTATTAACATTCAGATTCCTAGCAACTATAACAACTATCAAAGCTCAACAATCAACCAAATAAACTCAAAAAAAGCAGAAAAAAAATGCACTTGAAGTCCATTTCGTGAATGGATCCACCCTCATTAGGTTAACTAGCCTGCAATGTTCATACTCTTAAAAATTCCTCCGAACTCCAGTGAATAAAAATGCACGTCCAATACTCAAAGTACACTTCTCACACAACACAATGTCAATTTGTACGACTTTTCAAAAAATGATAGCTTTTTCATGGAATTGTGTAACCCTTCATATGTAGTAATGGATCGGAGTGAATGTTTATGTATTGCGCCCATTCATCTATCAAAGCATGAATATAAAATCCACCAAAAGTTGTTGAACAGAATATTTTCCACTCAATTGAAATTTGTAATCATTTTTATCTAATCAATAAAATATTATTTGTCATTGAACCCAATGAGTACATCTCTTTCTTTAGTATGATTTCATCGTTGCAACTAAAACTGAATACATGGAATGTAATTTTAGTAATAATAGCTCTAATGACAGAGTTGTAACTATGGGTGATCAAATTATTAAAAGGTGTGAATGTTTTAGATATCTTGTATCAATTGTTCAAAGTGATGGTGATATAGATGGGGATGTTATTAGTAAAATTCAAGTTGGTTGGTTGAAGAGGAGGAATGTTTGGGCCTATTGTGTGATAGAAAAGTACCGCTTAGACTGAAAGGAAAATTTTATAAGATGGTGGTGAGACCAGCAATGCTTTATGGCATTGAATGTTGGCCTTTAAAAGAGAAGCACAAAACTAAGTTAAGTGTTGTTGAGATGTGAATGCTTAGGCGGATGGGTGGCTTCACACTTAGAGAAAAAATGAGAAATGATTATATCCGTGATAGGGTTGGTGTAACTCTAGTGGAGGATAAAATTAGAGAGAGTCGTCTTATATGGTTTGGTCACATTAAACGTCGACCAATGATGATTTGATTAGGAGAGTAGATGTTTTAGATTCGACTCATGTTAAGAATGGCAGAGGTAGACCTAGAAAGACTTGGACTTAATTGTATAAACAATTACTTTAAATTATTAGAATTAAATGAAAATATGACGTTCAATACGACGCAATGGAAAAAAAGGATTCATGTAGCCGACCCCACTTGGTGGGATAAAGGTTTGTTGTCGTTGTTGTACAACTCTCTAGCTAGTTTCATTATCTCGGTCATATTTTGGACTTAACAGCCCCATTGAATTGTGCCTAAGGCCATCAGTTTAAACTATTTAAGTTGTATCATACCAAAAAAGGGGAATTTACATACATACCAACCAATGCCAATGTATTTACATATCTAACACCTAAATTTTACTTTTTCCATTCATACCACTCAAACACTTCATATCACATCATAAATAGCATCATTTTAGCTTTTAAAAAGTAAATACGTAGGAATTGAGTGACATGTATGTAAATCTTCCAAAAAAAGGGTAAAAACTGTGGCAACAAACCAGTTCCAATGTTATTAATTCCCTCTGAAGCTGCACAATAAATCGTTCGCTCAGATATCTGATCGCCTCTGCGTATTAAGATTGCGGGTTTTACTACCAAACAAGGTCAAAGAACAACATCGAATCGCTAACAAAATCAGCAAAACGAGGCCGATCTTCGTCACCTCCAGGTTTATCAAACATGTCGATGGCCGAATCTGCCGGCTGGTTCAGATAAAAATCAACAAACTAATTAAAAAAAAAAGGAGACCATTCGCGATCACACCGACTAATTCCAAACAAAATTAGCAAAAAATGTGAGAAGAAAAACTAGGGTTTCAGGCTCGTTACCTTAGCAGAGCATATTGATGAACCAGCAAGATCCTTCAAAGCTCCCCGGCAAATCAAAGCACTGAACAGAGATGCTTTTATAGGGAGAGAGAAACACGCAGAACTCTGCAAAATGTGGAATAAATCGGAAGCTCCGACTATTTTAATTTAAAGTAGATTGCAATTTTTTTTTTCATATTTTACTTTTGGATATTTATGTAAATTGAGTGGTTTGTAGGTAAAAAATAAAATTTAAATGTTCGTGTGTTAAAACGAGAGATTATTGAGTAGTGTCCAGATAAAATTGGTCACGAGTCCCAATGAAATATACTGTTTTGTTGTGCAATGTCTGCCCTAATATGTGTCCATTTTTAATTGAACATCAGACGCAAATTTAAGTCCCGTGTCTAAAAGCACTAATTTTTCATGTTAATACATGGGAATTATGTGACATATAAATATTTCATTATTTTTTATTAAAATAATTTATACAAATTATTCCAAATATTATTAATTTTTTAATAATAAAATTCATGTATTTTAGGTGTCAGAATCAAACTCTCTTTAATATGATAAAAACAAAAGATAAAATTTGAGATTTTATCATGAATTTTAATATTTTTGTGAAAATTTAAAAAATAGATAAATAAATGTTCTAGTGTTATAAATATCAATAGAGTAATTTGTATCTAATTATCTCTTTCTTGTTTTACAATGTTTATATTTTAATTTAGAAAAAAACTATAATTATGGCTAAAATATTTAAAAATATATAAATTATTTTAAATATTTTAAAATAAGTTAATTTATTTTAAAGTTAGACATTTAAAAATACATCAAATAAGTATTGTTTAAAAGTAAGAAAAATTGGCAATAGGCATTAAAGTTAATTTTCTAGTAAAACCAGCTACTCTTTTTTTTTTTAGGAATTTTTTTTTCTTTTTATTTTACATTTTGCTCAAAATGGTGCTGATAATTTTAAAAGGAGGCGATATAATTAGTATTCCTTGCATTTATTATTTTTTTTCTCATTATTTTTTTATTTCATTTTTTTTAATATTTGATGTGTGCTAGAAAATTCGCAGTGGTAATGTGTTACCGTCTTGACGTTGTGCAGGAATTTAGCACGCACTTAGGTAAAGAAAACAAGTAGTAATGATGCAAAAAGTGTTTGTGTAAAACCCGTAAAGGGAAAAAACCACAGGGTCTGGCTGAGTTATAAAAATTCACTATATGTTGATGATTACAGTGATATATTATCCCACGAATGGGAAGGAGTTACTTGGTTTTCCAAGTTACAATATTTGTTTGCGGCTTCTGGTTGGTGGTGATCAACGATGATTAATGATGCTCAACCGTGGTCAGCGGTGGTCTACGACAATCGGTGGTGGTTTACAACAATAGTAGTGCTCAAAGACCGTCAGTGGTTGTCTATGGCGGTCGATAGTGGTCTGTGACGATCAGCGACGGTTAGTGGCGATCGATGATGTTTGGCGACGGACGACAGTAGTCAGCGGTACTCGACAACAGTTGGCAGTAGTCGACGACGACGGGTGGTGATGAACTTCAACTCCTCTAAACTTTAAATTCTCTCTCAAGTCTCAAGCCCTCTCTCATGAGGAAAAAAAAAAATCATTCGGTGTCAACATGCACAGCTGCGTGCAGACCTAATAATACGTTGTTATGTGTCTACATCGGGCCCACCTCATAAATATTAAAATAATTGATTTTCTTACATCTGACCCAGCCCGCAACAACCCCGATGCTTAAAAATGGTAAAGCGCGTCATTTGGAAAAAGTTTTCCCATTCCGCGACTCCGCAGACTCAGGGTTTCTACTTCAATCTTTATTTTCTGCTAGGATTTCCCATTGCTACAAGACAATGAGCTAGGATTCGCATTGCGTCTGCACAGAATTTCGTTTTATGTGAGGCTCTACTAGCTCAAGGTTTAGTGCCGTATAAATGTTTTTATGGTGCAAACTCATCTACTCTTTTTTTTTTTCTTTTGAAGCACGATTGCAATTTCAGAGACTAAGAATATGGAGTTGGATGATCCTAATAAGATCCAGATGGAAGAGCCGAAGAAAGTTGATTTGGAAGAGCTAAGAATATGGTGAAGAAAAATCGTTAGAAGGAGGCCAAAGAGCCCAAGAAGGAAGACATTGAAGCGGCTAAGACACAACAACACTTATACATGTAATTTTGGTGGTTGTTTTTTTCATTTAATAATACTCTGGTGCTACAAAATGCTGCTAAAATAACTCCAAAATAAGCATAGTCTCCACTTACAATACACTAAACACTATATATTATCAAAAAATAGTGCTACAATAACTATAAATAACACCAAAATAAAACATTAATACTACAACAATAATGTCATAGTTTTAGATAAATAATACCACGACACCACCACTATAACACTAATACAATAATAAATGCTTGTAAAATAACTCAAAAATAAATCTAAAATAACTTCAAAATAATTACAAAAATAACTCTAAAATAATTCAATAACTAAAAAAAAAAAACGCCAAAACAACTAAAAAATAACTCCAAAACAATACCAAAACAATCTAAAAAAAACTCCTCAATAATCCCAAAATAACCAAACCACAATGGATAAATATGTAATTCGCTTTGTAAAAAAATAATTTAAAAATAATTTTATTTGAAATTTTAATTTGAATTTTAGCTGTATAGTTGCTTAATTCAAACAAAATAAAGTCGAACACAAACATGCTATTTGTGAGCAATTCCAGACAACACAAGCAGAGCAAAAAAAAAACAAAAAATTTAAGGAGTTTTTACATTCATAGCACCCAAAACTTTCATATTTAACTATTTCACACCTAAACTTTAATAATTAATTTTTTTTGTTAAATAACAACCGAGTGCTTGCTTCCTTCAACCATGGCTACCCACAATTAGCGATAAACAACTGTGATAGCAATTTGGCGTGGAATTGCCTTAGGAAAAACAGAAAGAATGACGTAAAAAAAAAAAATCAAAGCTTGTGGTCTATTCTTCACGAAATTATTGCATGAGAACACCCGATGCAAATTTACATTAGTTGTCCAATAACAATGGGTAATTTGGGCCCACTTGTTATGAAAAATTGACGGTAGTAAAGCAAAAAAAAAAAATTCGAGAAAATTACACCAGAAAAGACGACACAAGATTTACGTGGTTCAGCAAATTGCCTACGTCCACGGAGCTGCAGAGGATTTTATTAACTTGAGGAATAAACGTTTACAAGAAAAACTCTTCTCTCTTCCCTTCTCTCTCTCTCTAAAGCCACCAAAAGAAATTTTCTTTTCCCTCTTAGCAAACCCAAAGGAAGAAATTTTTTTTCTCTGTTAGCAAACCCAAAGGAAGAAAAAAACAAAACAGTTTTTTTTTTCCTTTCCCATGAACGCTATAGCCGAGGAGTTTTTGGGATGGTGTGTTAAGCATGATTCTCTCTTCCCTTCTCTCTCTCTCTAAAGCCACCAAAAGAAATTTTCTTTTCCCTCTCAGCAAACCCAAACAAATTAGCAAACCCAAAGGAAGAAAAAAACAAAACAGTTTTTTTTTTCCTTTCCCATGAACGCTATAGCCGAGGAGTTTTTGGGATGGTGTGTTAAGCATGACTTTTGGCTTTTGCAATTTATAATAAGTTAAAAGCCTAATTTAGGAAACAGAGGAGGGAAGCTTTGGTGGGACCGCTTGAAGGGGAGGGAAGCTTTGGCGCGATACATATGTAGAATCCATGTGATGCTTCACAAAAGGAATCAAATTAATTAGCAATTAATTTTTTATTATCTGCCATAAAGAAGAATTGTCATAACAGGAGGTGGACCAGGCTCCACCTACTCAACAAATCTCCCACTTGGAGTCTGGGACACCGACTGCATCACCTACTGGCTGCACCATTCGCTGGTCGTACCGACCTTTTCTTCAAACGTGATATTCTCCACATCTACAACTCAAAGCTATAGTCTTCATGCCAGAAGACCAACTGAAGCTGCACACAACTTCAGTTTATCAAGTGTAACGCCCTTGGTCAACATATCAGCAGGGTTCTTGTTTCCACAAATTTTCTCAAGTAGCAATTGTCCGTCATCTAACAATGATCGAATAAAATGATACCTGATTTGAATGTGCTTGGTCCTGGATTGAAATGCCGGATTTCTAGCTATGAATATGGCGCTCTGGCTATCAGTGTAGAGAGTGCCTTTCTGAACCTCCTTACCCAATTCCGCTAAGAAACTCTGCAGTCATATCATCTCCTTGGCAGCCTCTGACACTGCAACATACTCAGCCTCTGTAGCGGACAAAGAAACTATCTTCTGTAGATTAGAGCTCCATGACACTGCAGTACCGCCAAGAGTATAAGCATAATTTGTAGTACTCTTCCTACTATCAATGTCCCCAGCTAAATCTGCATCAACATAACCCTGTACCTCTAAGCTCTTTCCTGATAAACACAAACAAGTTTCTGAAGAGCCTTTTAGGTATCTCAAAATCCACTTCACAGCTTCCCAATGTTCCTTCCCTGGATTACTCATGTATCTGCTCACAACTCCCACTGCATGGGCAATATCTGGTCTGGTACAGACCATAACATACATAAGTGAACCAATAGCTGAAAAGTAAGGAACCTTACTCGTGTAATCTTGTTCCTCCTCTGACTTGGGTGATTGATTTTTGCTGAGTCTCAAGTGACTGCCTAAAGGTGTGCCAACTGGTTTGGCCTTGTTCATATTGAACCTGCTAAGCACCTTTTTCACATATTCAGCCTGTGAAAGTCTCAAAGTGCCTTTGGCTCGATCTCTAACAATCCTCATGCCAAGGATTTGTTTTGCTGCTCCCAAATCCTTCATTGCAAAATGCTCTGACATCTGCTTCTTCAGATTATTGATCTAATAAAAATTGGCCCCTGCAATAAGCATATCATCCACATACAACAGCAGGATGATATAGGAATGGTCAAAGTCCCTGACATAGCAATAGTGATCTGCCTGACATCTACTGTATCCGACATTTTGCATGAAATTATCAAACTTCTTGTACCATTGTCTAGGAGCTTGTTTTAGACCATACAAGT